AGAGACCCAGGTAGTTAGTTGGGGCAGGAGGAAATAAATCAGGCAAAAATCGAAGCGTCAAAGGTTTACAAGTAAGATGGGAACTTGTGAACCTTCAATGCTTCAATGTTTACCCGATTCATTTCCTCCCACCCCAGCTAACTGCCCCTGGGTCTTCAAGGATGTGTTCCAGTTTGATTGGGCTGATGTATTCAACTTTGATAGTGTTTTCTAAACACGTGTAGGGAGAGCAACCAGCTAATGTTGGCTTATCCTCTGATTTCACGTTGTGCAGTTCCAGAAAATATTGGGCCATACTCCCCCACAGAAGGGATTGGGATTTCCTGGGGTTGGTGGGTTCTCTAAGACCAAAACATTTAAAGGAATGTATCAAGCTTAATTGAAATTTCCAGAGGGTTGGGGGGTCTTAGAAAAATCCGTCCCATGGGGGAGATTATGGATAGTTTCTGGAACTACACATTGTGTGAATGATGCATCAGTAATAGTATTTATTTACTTATTCAATATTTATTTATTTATTTATTTATATATTGATATATCGCACGATGAGACATGGAACTTTAAAATTATGTTTTGCAGTATCATTATTCGGTACTCGCTTTGAGTCGAAAGCTTCAAAACCAAAACAAACCAAAAAAAGAAACAAGAAGCTCAGCGATCTTTAAACTTGGCCTGGCTGCTTGGCCACCAAAGAAACCACTTTTTGCATGGAAGTCACGGCACGACACAGCAAAATCCAAGCAAGTTTAAACATAAAATCCAAACCTTAACGCGAGACATGGCCAGCCGTAGAAGGAGCCAAACACTCCGTAAGGATATTTGCTATTATATGGCAAGGTGGGCTGTGGGCTTGAGGTAAATCCGAGCGATTAGCTTGGTTCACAGTAGCATGCGCACTACGAACATTGTTTTACGTTACTAAGCGACGTGTTGCTAAGCAACGGCTTTGTTGAAAGTTGATTTCCGACTTGAAAAAGAATAGTGAACAATCCAAGAAGGAAAGTTTGTAGCGGCCATAGAATCGCTCCTTTAGCAATGAAATGTTTTTCTGTGTTTAATTCCCGTATTACTGTCTCCCTACACCTTCTCCAACTTGCAACTTGCCTGAAAGCACGAATAGTTGTTATTTCTACAGAAAGAAAGCTTTTGATTAGTTTTGAAAAGTGGCAGGGTTTTGAGGCAAGGCAACAAGAAACTAAGGCAAATGTATTTCAGTTCAAACAATGGAGTTACCGATTTTGTGAAAATAATATGTTTACTCGAAAATCCATACAAAGTGAACTAAATGTGAGTTACCCCTGAGACAAAAATACGGCAGATCCTTATTCCCCTACGATACGTAGAGAGCTCAGCATGCATTTTCGCCATGTATTTGAACGAAGGTCGGGCTCGAACGAGTATAAAGGATAGTGGTTTGCATTAGTTTAACGTGAAAAGTTATGTGATATTTTTCCCTCGTGAAACGTGATCTGACAAACAGTCGTCGCGCCACTTAAAAAAAAATCAACAATTTGAAGATTTTAACATCAACCATTTTTGGTGAAATACCCTTTGAAAACATGGTTCCATTACAGCAAGGCCATTTCTATCTCCGTGTTTGTCACTGATGCCCCGTCCACAATACGCTGGAGAAATTTGAAGACGCAACAATCACCGGTCATTTTGGATTTGTGTTTGAGGAAATCTCGGGCAGCGAAATCACCTGATTATCCTTTTGTCATCGTTTTCGAAAAGCGCCGTTTCCCAAACGTTTTCCGTGCACACTAAATCGCAAAACCGGCGTTTTCAAATTCTTCCGGTTCGAAGACTCAAGAGCGTTTTCGCAGAGCTCCGTTTCGGTATACGGATTAGCGTGGACGGTAGGAGTGAACCGCGTAGAAAGAAAGCTGCGTTTTCAAATCTCTCCGGAGTACTGTGGGCGGGACCTCAGTATACACAAAATAAATTTTAACTGTATTACAGTGTAAAATCGTGACGGTATCCCCGAACTATTGACTTACGATTCGTCTTCACCTTGAGGCAACGAGGGAGATACACACGGTGTCCCAAACTTCTGCTTTTGTACTGGCGCTTCAAGCCTTATACTTGAATCAGTGATGAGGCGAAGTTCTATTTTCAATCGCAAATTTTCTTGGGCCAATCGTTTGGCTCGATCCGCGAGCCAAGCATTGTCGTCCTTTACTTCGGAGATTATTTGTTTCTTTTTCGGATTGCGAATAAACTGATCAAGACGCCCATATTGAGATTTCACCGCATATGAGCAGGCTGTCTTTCTGATTTTATTTTCTGCTTTTGTAAGCATACTCTTAAGTTAACTGTTTGTAGTCCAGAATAAACGTTATTAAGACCTGCTAATGAAGCACACGGAAATAATCCTCAAATCTGACCTGTTATTTAGAAAAATAATTCTACCAATTAGTGCGTTATTTAGTCGGAAAGCCTCTAATTATTCTGTTTTATACTAGCGTTTAACTGCCTTTCCATTTTTCTCGTAGTTCTTTTTCTTTCAGCCTAGCGTTGTGTGAGAAGAAGGCATTTTGGACATCAATATATTTTTTGTCATCATCGAATTTTCAACGAAAACTTTCTCAAAACGTTGCCCCTAAAACTGCCATCGCATGCCTGACAATTACACAAAACTGAGAAAACGAACGAAAACGAAAAGCTTGCTCATTGTTTGCAAAGTTATTGTTTCTGTGTTCGTCACTTACGTACTCTTCAGAACGCACATGTGCATCACCAGAATTACTGACAGATCACGTTTTGTGAAGAAAGCGAAAGCTCATTTCCCGACTGTCTACCTCGTTCTATCGACTGATGACCTGAATAACAATTGACAAATTACGTAACAAAAAAGAAGAGCTGTTTCTGCATACCTTTTCTCTCACGTCTTTGACGCTATGTTTATATTTGAGATGGAAAGAAACGACTTTTTATAAGCGGTTTTAAGTCTTCATAATCCGTGAAAGATTTTGCCAAAAATGCCCCTGGAGTTACTTATCATGCCATTCTATTATTATTATTTTATTTTATTTATTTATTTATTTTTTTTGATCACGCCGCTCTAGATTGTTCTTTTGATGACGAAAAGCTCGTTTCACGGAATTCACGGGAATGCAACGCATAACGCTTGACGGAACACGCAGCGATTGAAAACGTCTTCAAAACCAGCATGGTGCCAATCATGATCAGACAACGCTAGCTGAAACAACTATAAACAACGTCTACTTCCCGCTTAATCTCACGAATTATTTTACTAAGCCTTCTGCATGGTCTAAACAAAATAAGCCTTAATTGCAGATACTAAAATACTCGGTGTTTCAGAAGATAATTCCCTAGTTTGAGTTACGCCAGTCAAGCATCATGGTACTTTGAGTAATAATTCATTATTCATCATTTATTTAGCCTGCGAACAGGCTCCCGGAGAAGACGGAAAAAAAATTCGGCCAGCGCGAAATAGAAGAATGAGCAAAGCGATCGGGGTGATCATTCGGGCCCACCGGGAGCCTGGTCGCAGGCTGTCATTTATTTCGTTATTTTCTATGAAGCGTATGCACATGACGTCATGGCAGCCATATTAGTGTTCCAAAACAGTGAAACGACGATCATGCTGGTGAACAGAACCAGTCCTGTGGGAGTTCAACTTTTTCTTCTGTAAACACTTATGTAAACACTTTCTTTTGTTCCGATAAATTTGCGCGGCTGCTGCACACGTGGGTGAACACGCTCTATTTCTGTTACAGCATTTTGAGACAATTAAGATATCTTTTCATTGTCATTATATTAACACTTAGTTTCAGAAGAGTTTCAGTGAATCATATAAAACGTTTCCAATCATTTCTTTTTTTTTCTTTTTTTTTTCATGCGAAGAAACTATGTTTGTTGGTCACCAATTGAAACAAACTCACATTGGTTAATTAGCCAGAGTTGAGAAACTGCTGACCGTGGCTCACTCTTGCATGACACGACAAAGATATGTTATGTTGCTAGGCAACTTTTTGCCGGCTCGTGTTAATATTTTCTGTTATTATATGGCTGTGTCTCACAACGACTGGGATTTACCGAATTTACGACTTTGATTGGCTGAAATCGATATTGAAAGCGGTCTAGATTTTCCCATCTAGACCGGCATCTAGACCGATTATATTACATTTTGCGGTGAAAAAGTTGCAAACTAAAATGCAAAAATTTTGAATATTTTCTTCTAACAATATTTATTTATGGAAGTGCCCAAAAGCCTGATGAGAAAAAAAAGCATAGAGGACGAGCAAACTTTGACAGAATTAAGTTCGGCTCATCGCCGTTCGCAAGCAAAATGTCAGCTAGTACAAACCAGTTACATTTAAAACGAATTAAAGTTTTCCTGGTTGCCATACAATAAACATCTTATTAACCGAGCTTAGTCAGTCTGTATGGGAGAATCTTGACCTCGGTCGTGTGTACAAACCTCACTGCGTTCGGTCTGTACTAACAACCTCGGTCAAGATTCTGAGCCTCTATCTCCATCCCCCTTCCCGATGCCCCATTCAGGGAGGGGGGAGTGTCTGAGTATCCAACATCCCGTAATTTTCCCCTTTATATCCTGTATCACATTAACATTTTATCCCGCAGCTCGAAAAAGCCTAATGGGGCCTCCCTCCCCAAACTCCGCCTCCATGCCTCCGCCCGTCGTATGTAGATGCTCTTTGTTATAATGAACTGACAAATACTTCGAGTATTATACTTAACGTGAACTGCGATGCTAAAAGAAATATCCCGGTGGAGTGGGGAGAAATTTAAAGCCATCCACCAACCCCACCCACCCCCTGTGCGTCCGAGGATTAATCTGCTCTGTAAGCATGCACCCAGGGGATCCAGCATAGAGAGTTAGATTTGCTTTAATTTCAAATAGGAGGTCTCCACTTATATGGTAGGTTAAGATGTGGTGTTTGTTTGTTGGTTGAGCTAGAACTATGAGTCTGCTTTGGAAGTGTCCATAAACAGAGATCATTTAATTGTACAATGTAACCATAATATTACATCATTACCATATCTGGCTCGATGCCATTCTTGATATATTGAGAGAACTGCTTCTTGTAAGTTTCCTCATCTTCATCCTTCAACTCTTGCATGTATTTGGCAACATTCTGTCCAAAGATGTGGTTACGGTGAACTTCTGCACTGAACTCTTTGGACTCGCTATCATAGCCAGGGAAACGNGCAACATACACATGGTGCATGATGGGAAGGTTGGACGTAATGCTGTCAAGTCTACAACAGCTTTACGGTATAATTTCTGACCAGCTGTATTTTCTGTGCCATGGTATAATTAGTAAATAAACCCCTTCAGGCGGCTGGTATGTCAGCTGATAATGTCCACACACACAAAAGTGAATATTTGGCTGAGAAGCGAAGCTTCGAGGGCAAATGTGAAACTTTGAGGACAATCAATCAGCCAAGGACATTATCACCCTCCCATTAACTTTCATATCACAATTAAACCGCTCGTAAACATGGTAAAAACGCCAGTGGTGATCTGATGGCGAATGCATGTGATTGACGTAAACAAGCAAGTACATTAATTTTGATTGGTTTAACTAACTTTATTTCCACTGTGATTGGACCAAAACTTGACAAGCTGTCATGTGAAATTAACTCTCATAATGTGCCTTAGATCAAAAACTCAAAAACTCAAAAACTTGATGTACTTTCCCGAACAGCATTTAGCGACCAGCTATTTAATATCAGTATCGCTAGACTGGCAACAAAACAAGTTTGGTTTCCTTTCTTGTAAAATAAGAGAAAGGAAAATTTTAAACTCTTGTGCTGACTGTGTTTCTTTTTGACGGAAGCAATCGGAGGACAAATATCGACGCAGGTGGGGGTTATTGCGTGATAACTGTCCTGTGAGTTTTCACCACGTGACATAAAGTAACCAATAAAATCGCACCAAAATTTGTGGGTGGGTTATAAAAGAAAATAGTTCGTAATCAAACAACCACCTTTTTTAAAAATATATGTATCTCTACATTGTTTACAAAGAATATGGGCAACAAGTGGTATGTAAAACTGGAAATCGTTTTACCAACCTGGCAAACTATGTCCTTGTTAGTGAAGCGAACAACAAAACGGTACTTGGGCGTGTTGTACTTGTTCTTATCCTGGGTCACCAGACGTTTGCGGGCAAAATAATCAGTTTTACCCTCTGCAAATGAAAATGTACAAACCACCATGTGACCGTGAATTTTCTAAGACTTTTAAATATAAGGCAGTTTCACCAGACAGCTCATCGATAGCCGGTAGAAAAAAATAACGAAGACAAAATAATTATAACTAACCTCGTCTTCTCTTAAATTTGACCTGGAAACGCTTGAAATACGCTTTGTTCTTGATTACTTTAACGAATCCCTATTCGAAGAAATATAGGAATCCTATCAGATCGGTGTCCCAACATCGATGAATTCATCCCTAAATATCTACGCCATCTTAACATCCCCTTAGTAAAGAATATAACCAGAGAAACGGTAAGACAATAAATAAGCTAAGGATTGCCTTCTTTTTATTCAATTCTTACCATTTCTAGGGTTAAAGAAGGGAAAATTTAGGACACCCCAGGTAGCATCGGCTGGAGGCTGACAAAACGGTAGAGAGGAAGAAGGGGACGCGGCGCGCGGGAGTTCATGGGATTGTAAATAGTTCGTGACGTCATACTAGAAGTTCAATTCTTGACCTTCGGTCTCTGATCATAGCGTAATTGTATTTCGAATAATCGTGGAAAATTTGATTTTTCCTTCTTTTCCTTCGTTACCTACCCACTAAATAGAAGAAAAAAAATTAACTCCTTCAACAAGTGGCTGAAGTGCCGAGTGAAGTAAATATGACTCTATTTTTGTGCAATGACGTCAAGTCTGGAACCCACTCCCTGCTCATACTTCCGGAAAGCCAATATGGCGGCAACAGAAGATTAGAGAAGATAGGAGGTAGCGGCAATTTCGAATATTCGTCGCTTTCTGATGAAAAATGGATAGTTCTGCTGAAACTACCCGTCTCCTGTACAGGATTTCTAACGAAATGCGGTCCCAGGACCTTCAAAATCTCAAGCACTTGTGCCATGAACGCATTCCACTCGGTGAACTTGAAAAAGCGACGCAAGCGAGTGCCTTGTTCCAAATTATGCTTCAGAAGCGATTGATAAGGCCAGAAAATCTGAGCTTCTTAGAGGGTTTACTGAACCAGATTGGCAGAGCTGATCTAGCTGGCAAGATTCAGTCAAGTGGACGAGATGTCACGATGCAAACGGAGAGCGCCTTGGGAAGTAATTCAGTTGATAGGAATTATCGAGCTTTCCTGATGAAGCTCAGTGACGAGTTAACACGGGACAACGTCGAATCACTAAAGTTTGTCGCAAATCTACCGGGTTAGTCACTAGTACCTCACTTGCTTTAACATTATTTTAGATGTTGATTGGGTCAAGGTAAATTAGTGCCAGATCGACACCGTAACGAAATACTGTACTGTACTGTGCTGTAAATAACGAGTGTAAAGAATTGTATTAGAGACTGATGGTTATTCCTCCGAACTCCGTTTGTGATTTTATATTAAGTAGGAAGCGAGCATCTTGAAGTATTTCCTTTGGTAACTATGTTTTTCTTTTTTGATGACATAACAACTACACAGAATATCCTTGTTGCATTTTCACTGGAATTGTGCAATCCAAAAGTCGTGTGCTGTGTGGCTTCATGTTCCCTGAGGCTGCTTGGTTGCATAGGGGAAGTGGGTGGAGGGAGGGGAGGGGGGGATTACCCATCAATATATTCCAGACATAACTAATCGATGATCAACGACATCAATTGGTAATCAATGAGTAATCGATGAGTAATCAGCTGATTAGTCATTGATTATTGGCAATGATCAATGAGTAATCGATGAGTAATCGAAGCCCAAAAATTTTGTGGCATATTGATTACTCATCAATGACATCGATTACTCATTCATGTAATTGATTACTCATCAACTATTATACTGCACACGAAAGACACTTTTCTTGCTTTCTTGTAACTTTTTTTTTTCGTTTGTGATTCTTTTATCTATGTTAGACACATTTTTCCTTGTATCTGAAGTTCCTGTCGATGATGTCAAGACGGAAAGTCCTAATCACAAATACAGATGATTCTCAATTGTGCAATATTTCACTTTACCCAACTCTTTCTTTAATAACAAAACAACTGAACCGTAACCAACCAGTCTGAAAATGAAACTAACAAGTACGCTGACAAGAATTGACTACGTGGTTATCGATTTTTTTTTTGTGGGTGTTTGTCAGCAAAGTAAAACTGCTTCGGCTTAGGGAAACATCCATCATAAGCAGTTACATAACCAGCTTGAGAGGTACTGGAGAACCTTCTGAAGCTTAATTTCCATGTACTACTTAAGCTGAAAAGAATAAACCTGGAAACATCTGTTTACATTTAAGTTGTTTTAATTTTGTTTTTCTTCACCAAATACGTTTGCAGCCACGAGATGATATCGATGAGTAATAGATGAAATCAAGGACTAATCAATGCAATCAATGACTAATCAATGCAATCAATGACCAAAAATTTTGTGGCCCATCGATTAGTCATCGATTACTCATTGATCATCGGCAATAATCAATGACTAATCAACTGATTACCTGTCGATTACCTATTGATTACTCATTGATTTCATTGATGTCATTTATGTCATCGATTAGTTATGTCTGGTATAATCCAGTGGGCAGACTCCATCCGGCAGCTAACTAGCTTGCACTGCTATTGAGTGGTGTACAATGAAAGATACAGATCACAAGTGACTTGATTTGTATAAAATTAATCAACTCTCTAACCACTCATGTATAAAGCCATTTCTTTTTTGCTAGTGTAAAAATTCAGGTTCAAACTCAGGGTCTGCTTCTCTAATAATCTTCTGTATATAGGGGTTTCCACTAACTTTCAAAGTAGTCAGATGCAAAAATTTGACGCCTTTTTCTATTTTTGTGACATCAAAGTTTGTAGATGGAACAAAAAATGCGCAAGACTTTCATAAGAAAGCAAACTCATAACGCAATCAGTGGTAAATCTAATATTTTGAGCCGATAGACCATGTGGATAACAATTATTATTATTATGTTATTATCATTATATATTATATCATATATAGAGGATATTACACAGTGGCAAGAAGATATGAATTTTATGTTCTCATAGCAAGAACAATATCTCACGAATGAGCGAAGCTCACTCGTGAGATATTCTTGCCACGAGAACATAAAATTCATATCTTCGAGCCAACATGTAATGTTCTTTTTATTATATGGAGACTAAATATTGAAACCAATTCAACAAAAGCAAAAGACGGGAATCGTGACGTCATTGAACGATATGACACTCACAAAGGTGACATATGGAAAATACGCCACTCGGGTCCCGGATGAAGTGGCGTATGGAATCTACGAGTGGTTTAGTTCCCAGTAAAACACTCTTCTCCATATAATAACATATCATATCATATCATATATCATATCATATCATGTTATTATTATTATTATTATTATTATTATTATTATTATTATTATTATTATTATTATTAAAGGTTAATTTTTCAGTGACTATATCAACTGTAGGCTTGAAACAGGATTTCAGAAATTTGAGACCTTTATTGGAAGTTTTGCTGGGAACAATTGTAGGAAATGCAAGCACTATATTACATTTGACTTCTGTGAACCATTACCCAGTTACTGTCTAAGTAACAATTAAAAGCCTCCATATACATGTAATTAATGAACATTGAGCACAGATGATCAACCAGTTATAAGTTATACAATGAAAAGAATTCTTGAAAAAAAGTGATACTTATAATTAGGTGGTAAGTGACTTATATGTGACACACTTAGTTGTTGAATGACAACTAAGTGTGTCATTGTCATTTTATTCTGAACTTAGTTGTTGAATGACTTATTGCAGATGGCATAGAGGAAAAAGTTCAGAATGGAAAGGATCTGTTCAAGTATATGATCCAACAAGGAAATCTTGGGCCATGCAAACTAGATCACCTAGCAGACATGCTCCAAGAAATACATCGCCGTGACTTGGCAGAGAAGGTGAAGAAATTTCAATCAGAGGGTATGTTCATTTGATTGAAGTTCGCTTTTCATGCACGTAGATTTGTNACGACACTCACAAAGGTGACATATGGAAAATACGCCACTCGGGTCCCGGATGAAGTGGCGTATGGAATCTACGAGTGGTTTAGTTCCCAGTAAAACACTCTTCTCCATATAATAAAAATTATTATCGTGTCGTTTCTGTAGGATAGCTCGGTTTCGACCACTGCTAGTATTGCGAGCCCAGCCATCGTATGCAAGGAGATATGTCAAACGATGTATGGCCCGCAAAACAGCGGAGTTACGAAAAGTTAACAGATGATCGACCAACCCCCCATTTAGCATAGTCTGATCTACCACTATAACCTGTAACTTGCTTATGCAATTCACGGGTTAAAAATGAGCACCACCAACCTTTCGCCCTCCCCGCCGAAATCTACCATCGACGTAAAAATCCTTCCCTAACTTATTTGATTCTAAGATCCTTTTGGAGAGCTTGTCTGTTACTTTATGCTGTTAGAGTCTGTTATTTTATGTCGTTATACTTTCACCACGCGATATTCTCTCAGGTACAAGAAATGTTTCCAATTATCTCAACATCTTGTGAAAAAAAATTAACCCAATCATTTTTGAAACACAATTGAGATTCTTTCTGGTAACAAGGCTCGCTTTCCCACCCCACCCCCTTCGATAATAAGCTTCCTCGATAGTTTATCCAACAAAGCGAAATGAAAGGATTAGAATGAAATTACGCCCTGGGTTTATATTCGGGATTTTGAGGTAGCGAAAGTAAACTTCGTTCAAATTAAGATACTATTCTTAACTGATACAAGAAGAAGTGACACTGAACAAGGGCTTCAGTTACAGTTTACAATGTATTCGATTGAAGGAAAGTTCTACGCTGAGCGTAGGAATAGAAGATTGATTCTTACTGCTTTACACTGTCGAGTTAAAATTGTTGCAAGAAATGTTCTAGATAGTTGACACGCGTTGAAATAGTTGCGCGCAATTTTGCAGATATAATGGATCGACACTCGTTGAAATTATTTCTCACACTGTTGGAGAAGTGCAGAGCGATTTCACTCCTCGGCAATCGACTGTGACAGGCTACAATATTGTGTGAAACAATTTCCATATGGACATACGATGAAGTTTTAGAAAGTGCGAGAAAATTGCGGGCGTGCTGCACCGCTTGCCCATGTCAAACTGCCCTTCGCGGTTCGGGGTGGAACTGTACAAAAAGTTTCAAATAGTCGAAGATTCTCTCATATGATATGCCCTTACAAGTTTTCATATATACTTTTAGTTACTTGTATGGCCTTTTGTTGAAAGACGTCAGAGTTTACAGCGTTCAAAAGCTGGCTGTATTTTTACTTCATTGTGCATTGTTCTGATCCATTCTTCACGCCGCAGACAGCAACATTACCTCCTGCTGCACAAGCATCCTTGGTCTTTAGGTCTTCCAGCTCGGTGATCAGCTCTTGCTTCTCTTTCTTCAGAGTCTCTAGCTCTAATTGAAGGACGTTTTCAGTCAAGCTAGTCTGAGAAGTTGCAATTTCGTGCTCATTTGCTATTCCTGTGTCATCCGCTAGAAAATAAAAGAGGAATAGTTGTCAAGCGCGTTCTAACTTGTTCTTGTCGATATAAAAGACTAAAGCTTATAGTTCAAAAGCGGCGAGCGATATTTTATGCCTTTCTGTATACCTTGAGTTTTTGAGTACTTTTCTTTGTCGCTCTCTTGCAGCATAAAGTGGAAGTACTGAAGCGCTATAGTGGCATTTTTTCTGTCACAATGAGCGAGCCTGAAGCGAACGAACAATCGAGGCAGCAGATCTAATCGGTATAAAAATTCGAGACTATGATCTAGCTCTTGATTTCGGTTTTCTTGTAAGATAAATGAAATTGCTTCATGTCCTTCTTCGAGAGTAACACCTTTAACCTTTAACCAGCGAATTTTCTCTCCATTTCTCAGCCTCCCTTGACAGAATAATTTGTCGACTCTTGCATTTGCTGGTAAAATTCTTCTCCACTGATACAGTTTTACTTTAACGGCTGTCAAGTGCACAATCTTACGAGCATTCTGTACAGCTTGCGAATTTTCCTGACAATACCGTATGGGGCCCAGTTCTCGGCCACAAAAAACGTAAACTTGTATTTCTTACCTTGGAATAGCCGTAAGGACTTAAAATTTCACGAGCAACTAGCTTCAGCATTCAGTTTACACATGTAGAGCTATCGACTGCTCAACGTTTTTTTCTCCCGGTTAATAACGAAAATGGAGGTTTCGTTCGTGGGCCCAGTTATCGGCCAGCGGGTCCAGTTCTCGGCCACAAAAGAGTGGACGCGATTCCTCAGAATAAACAACGCTTTATTACCATTTTTTGTTGTTAAATCACTTATAAGGCTTGTGTTTTGATATTTCGATCACAAATTATCCTTAAAGAGGTTTGTTTCATGTTAGAAATGGAAGTTTTTTTGCACACCTAGTTTTTCTCTTAAGTGCAGTCACGCGAAGCTAAAAAAGAGTTGGGTATTTAAAACGGGGTTAAGTCATGATCAGAGCTCATAGTTTCCAACATGCCATCCCATTACAGCTTTATTTTTATAACTAACTTGACACGAATACTCCACACAAAACTATGAGCGCTTTTAATGTTGAAGGCGAGCAGGGTGGCCGAGAATAGGCAAATACGCAAAAGTACTAAGGAAATATTGAGGAGTGAATTTAGGTCAAAGAACTGAACAGGCCAGGAAAAGTTTACATTTCACAGATAGTTTTATCACTCTACGTCTTTTATGCCAAGATATTGGCTCATTTGGGCTTTCTAGACGGACAAAATATAAACTTTTAATTAAACCATGTAATTCGAGTAGCCGTAAACAAACACGTTTTCGGGGAAACCAAATTCACCTGCCTTCGCGTCACCTCGACGTGCTCACAGAAAAACTCGGCAGGACGAAACAAAGCTCGGCAGAACGGAAGATAAGGAATCAAGCTACCTTTGGAAACAATCGCTTTTTATTCAGATTCATTTGTGGCGCGAAAAATGAACGCTGAACAAAAGGTGGCCGAGGACTGGGCCCGGCCGAGAACTGGGCCTCACACTGTACATGATGGCAGGTGATTTCATTCGACACAGGTTATTTCCAGCTGCTTGCTTTTTTTTAAAGAACACTGCCGTTTCCTAGTTTCCGTTAAATATACGCAATAGTAAACTTACACAAACAACAATTTAGACTGGTTGCGCAGTTAAAAAAGAGAGAATTTTAGAACAAGATGCCTTAAAGGCAAAAAATAAAAATCAAATAGAGTAAATACAGCACCGGCTGTTTTGCACAACTTTTTTATGAATTTGTAAATTCTAACTAAAATATTTTGCGTTTCTTGAGTCAATTAAGTTATTCTCATCGATGAAGTTTGACGGATAGCGAGCAATGATAGACCTGGTAAAAACGATCGTTCGAGTGTTGTTCGGTTTTAACCGTATTTCCTCGATTCAATCCGCTTTAGTTTTGCATTTCGGAGCGAAGAGTGAATTATACTCGAGACCTGAGAGACAGGTAAAAAGAGAAACTGTTCTAAGTTTCTATAGCTAGTTATCGGCGCTTTCATGATCAACAAGTTCGAAAAATGAAATGGGAGATTAGTCATAAAAGAATTTGTGAATGTTTAGGAAACACACAAAATTCACCTAAGTTTCGTTTGAGGCGGTATTTTGAAATTTATTTAAAAATATATTTATCACAACATTAAAATGAATAAATGTCAAACATAAAGAAAATAAACTAATAATGATCGGCAAATGAACACTAAACAGCCCATGCACTTCTTTGTCGCAAGGAAGTTTTCGTTTTTAGTAATATAAAGCGAAAATATATGAACAGCTCCAGTTCTTTTTTCGCCGCTGAAACTGGGGTTGAATATCACGCTGTCGTAACAATGTTTTAACGTTCTAATTATGGCTGTTCTACTTTCATTTAATCCCTGAAACAACGACAGTTTAAACATTTACAATGCCTCACCGTTTGTCGGCGAAAAGTGGTGAATATGTCCGCCATTAATGCTGCATGTTAACAGCTCCTTGTCTTTAAGCATGGCGTTTATTTCAGCTTTCAACCGAGACGCTTCCGCAGATAGTCTTTCGATCCTTGCCTGAAGTCGGACATTCTCTTGCCTCAGCTGTGTAACGCAGGTTTTATTTCGGCTGTCCGTCCCTCTCGCTATTCCAATTGCCGACCCCATGTACGTGTTGTGTCTGCTGCTGTAAAAAGAAATTGTAATAAACTGAACGAAAAATCAGTAGATGAAGTTGATGGCTTGGTCGCCTCCTGGTAACGTTCTTTTCAGCTCAAAACAAGGCTTTTGGTATGGTGTCCAACATCCGGCGACTTGTTTCCAATTCACTTTAGTTCAAAACACTATACAAACCACCTTTAGCAGCACTGAATTAATCTCAAATTACCTCAATATCTTTTAAAAAAAAAGTTGCATGGCAACATATTCACTGTTATTGAGATACCTTCGACTCGCAGACAAAATTGTGTGCTTTACATATTTAGTCAGCTATGTTGTCCGACAAAAACCCAAAAACATTGAATTTACCATCGTTTTAAATTCGAATAGACAATTTCTGAAAGTAACGGAAAAACTACAAGGAATCTACGGGACTTATTATTGAGACATTGAAAGAGAGTATCTGTGACGTAAATGACAGATGGTTTTTCGTTGATCAACTCTCTCGTTCACACGTGTACACAAAAAAACCTGATATCAAAACCAATGTCTTTGATTCTAAAGGTTTGGAACAGGAAATTGACAAAATCCCTTAATTGTTCATTGACCTTTTGGGGTTTGGCCATTTACTGCCGTTATGTTCATTTTTTTATATAAACGATAAAGAAATCACCATCCCATATTTTGTCACGGCCATTTGAGGCCGTCGCTTTTCGTAGGAAACTGGAACCGACAACACATTATTGTGAGAAAAAAAGCTATACGAATTGCATGCCAGGTACGATACAATTCTCTTGACTTTATATATAGAAAGTGTGCTTTCGATTTCTAGTGTCAAAGCCCCGTATCATCGAGGTAGAAGGGCTCTGCAAATTCGTAGACACATGTTCAAGTGTCGTGTGGAAATGGCCCTATGCACCCAAATGTGGGTCTGAAGGATTTCCCCCTTTTGTGAAGTCCTTATCCCTATTTTCCGGCTTCATCATATGTACCATTTTAGCTCTTATATATGATCNTGTTTAGGTCCCATAAGGGGTTTTCGGGATACAGGAAATAAAGGCCAAAATTAAACGGATGTGGGATACTTAGATCCCCCTAATGGGGCCTTGTTGATAGCTGAAAACAAAGGAAATACATGTAACTTTAATATAAAAGTGGTTTTCAATTTATGTGAAAAAATGGAGCAACCATCAAACATTAAGAGATGGATGACATCGTGAGAAAACCACTTGACACTGGATATTTTCAATTACTTAAATAATATGCAACAACTTTTAGTGCCTACACCTTCATCAGTTGAAAATTAAATGTTTTTACACATGATTGGAAAATAAACAGCACATTTCAGAAAATTCAAAAAGTGATCTAGAAAGGTAAATGCTACTGTAACATTTTGCAATAGTATAATAAAATGTTTTTACAGTACACTTTATAAGTTGATACTTTGGAATTTTAATTTTAGGGGGTGTATCTCCCAGTACTAGTGATGATCAGCCCCCTCCAATGCAAATCAACAACCAACGCCAAATGGTCGTAACGCCACCATCAGGTAGACCATTAGTGACAGGGAAACAGCCCACAATGCACCAGATGGGTGAGTCCAGGCCACCAGCTGTGCCTTTGCTGTCTCCAAGCTTCTTCAGCAGAGCTCAAACTTCAGATGCTGGAAATGTGGAGCCACGATACCCTGTTCAGGCCATGCCCAATCCAGCAGAAATCCTTGCACCCATGCAACAATTAGGAGTGGATGAGGAAGAAGCAATGCCTTCATACCCCATGACAAATCGTCCGCGTGGCATTGCACTGATTATAAGCAATGAGCACTTTCAAGGAAATCCAGACTTGAGAGATCGGCAAGGGAATGAAAAGGATGTAAAGCACCTTCGTGAGTTGTGGGAGTTTTTGAATTTCGAAGTAATTGTGAGGGCAGACCTTGAGTCAGAAGATATCTATGATGTTCTGAGAGGTATTTCGACTATGGATCACAGGAACTTTGACTGCTTTGTGTGCTGCCTACTCAGCCACGGAGCTAATGGAGGGATCTATGGCACAGACAGCACACTGGTAGAGATCAAAGATATCACATCCATGTTTAAGGGCGTGGCATGTCCTTCTCTCGCCCATAAACCTAAACTGTTCTTTATCCAGGCTTGCAGAGGGCTAGATCGTGATAGAGGAGCACGGTTTGAAACAGATGCAGTGGAAAGCAATCCCGAGGATGCAATGAGGCATAATGCAGAGCCAAATGAAAGCCACTTTCTCCTTGGCTATGCCACTCCTCCAGGTAAACAGTTTATGTTTGTGGCTCTTTTTAGGAACTCTTCAAGCCCCAGAGTTGACATAGGATTACATTAAGAATGACTCTACAATTTTGTTTGTGACCTTTTGGAGACATACATGCATTTTATTAAAAGAAGCTCCCTTAACAGGGCTTACACAGTAATAGACACATTTTGTGTCACCTTACTACATTTAAGTCTATTGGAAGTAATCAGCAGGAACATGGTTTGGTTTTTCCTTGCTTACTGAAAGTGAAACTGATAAAATGAAAAGCATATTACATGTAAGTGAAGTGCTGTGAAGTGTGCACTTTTAAAAAAAAAAAAAATAGTATACTAGTGTAATACTACTTGAGTGTATATGTATTATACAGTGTATGTACACGAGTCCCAACATAGCACTTACTTAAATTCCTCATTTTGTAGTGTTTTACGTCATATTGTTTTTCTACCAGCTTCTTCTATTGGCTCAGTTTGCTTTTGTTTTGTACTTGGTTTTTTACTTTTGCTATTTTTGTTCACATAAATTTATAAACCTATTTTGAAGTTCTTTCTAGTGCAATTGTGTGTGTTTTTTTGTTCTGTTTAGTTTTGTTTTGTTTGTTTTTTTGTTTATTTTTGTGCTTTACACCTCAACAAAATAAAGTTGACACCACACTTGAATGCCTTTTGTTCCACCACCAAATATTAAGCAGCCTCTTGCCCAGTCCCCAGGAGAGGCTGCTTGGCAGAGGCTTGACTTAGAATCATTGCTGTCTAACTTTTTTGCAATTGATCATCATCAGGTTATGTTAGCTGGCGGAGCCAGGTGCATGGTTCCTGGTATGTTTCAAAGCTCTGTGAAGTGTTCCGAAAGTATTGCGAGAGGTTTGATGTTATGACCATGATGGTAAAGGTAAATGATGAAGTGTCCGACGCATTCACCAGGCAGGGTTACAAGCAGTGCCCAGCTCCAGTTGTCACGCTCAGGAAGAGAATCTACTTAAACAATAACTGAATGGTACAATCTTGGCTTAGGAAGGACTTTCACTAACTGCACAGTGGACAGTAACATGTACCTAATGAACAGAGTCATTACAGCTAGTTTCTCTTCTTTACAAACTGAAGAGTTTGATCACTCATAAACATAGCCACCCCAATTATACCAACCATGATGGCTTGTTGATGTTTCAGCCTAGGTATTCTGTTTAAAAGCTTTAGATGTACTCAAAGATGAGGCAAAAATTTTATGCCATGCATAGGAATAGCTTTCTGTGACATGTTGTTAAGTGTTACTATGGAGAGTCATCTGTCAGTAAGGAAAATTATTTGAATATCTACTTAATGGAGAGTGTTTTTTTCTCTCTCAAATATCTGTTATTGAGGCCAATTTGGTGTGACTCCATGCAACGAACATTCCACAAATTGAAATTGTTTAGTGCTTCTGCATTTTGTATCACAGGATTACACTATAAGATTAGATATTGCTCTAAATATAGGTGGAAATGTGAGCTAGTTTACTGTTACTACGGGAAATAGTTAATAGCAGTTTGTCATACATATGTATACTTCGAAGAAGTATACTTATTATACAAGTGAGTATGTAAAGGGTGTACTTCCTGTGTCATGACTGGATATTACCTTGGCTTGAAACATGAAATAAGTGGGGGTGTTTTCCTCATGAGGAATCATAGCATATTCCATATTCTCATAGTTGCTCTCTCTAGCTACACTATTACTCGTTAAAAACGATTATCATGTGTAAGACAAAAATCATGGTTTTAGTTTGTGATTTTCCGGATGTCAACGGAATTATGTGAAAGATCCGAAACGTGATAAAACGTTAAATGATCGTAGTTAAAATCCGTGAAACATGATATGGATCCCCATCACTCCCTCCCCTCCCTCCCCTCCCCCCTTGCTACACTCTTCAGTTTTTCATCAATTTAGATGGTGAACTGAAACTTTCAGAGGAAAAGTTTCGTCAGTAAGCTTCCAAAAATGATAATTAAGTGCTTTTAAAGTTGTGGTTTAGTACATGTATTCCAATGTCGAAAAGAGAGGGCAAGTGCTATGTGCATCGTGATTTACTTTAAGCTTTCAGTTTAGCGATGTAATTTCTAAAAACAGAGAAAAATTTCCTATCAGATCTTAACTTGGAAAATAGAAAACGTGTTTAAGGTGATTTTTATAGTTACAGAAATTATCTAAGGGACAATTAAGTGGCTGACTTTCTTGGTCTCCTGGACTAGTCAGAAATAAAAGAGAATTGCTTTGCCACTATTATCAAGCAAACTAGGTTTTCAAGTTTGTTGCGACTGAAGAAAATTCTGTTAAAAGATTTGAATCCAGTGGCGTTTTATTGCCAGGAAGATATCAAGACAAGTAGTAAAATGAGAATACCTATTTAAACTGTTGAAGCTTATGTTTAAAAGTAGGGTTAGGAGAACTTTACTATACAAATACAGGTTTCTGTGAGTTGTAGCAGCAGAATAAACTTGCCAAGTATACCAAACGTCGTACAGTTTTTTTAATGAAGAATTTTGGTGGAAAATCAAGGGAATATTTCATCAAGAATAGTTCACTCTATTCTCATTGCCGGCTCATAACTCGGGAATGGTTGGGAGACAGGGTGTCTAAACTTCCCACTGCCAAGCCGGAAAGTGGCATTTGACAATTAGCCGGAAACGTCATTCAAGAAAACTTTCTCTCAGTTCATCCTACTGCAAAAAATAATCGCCGCAATCTATGATNCCCCCCCCCCCCCCCCCCCCTCCCGTCGCTTACTTTTATTTTCTATTTTCACCTCCTCCCTATTTTTCACTTTCTATTCTCACCTCGTCTTTGCTGGTTTCCCCTCTTTCTGACCTGTACTGCAAAATTGTATGGAAGGTTGGGAAAGTTTTTCTGCTTCTCTCCCACTTCTCGCCAGTTCGAACATCATTAAAAATAAATGCGGGTGCGACTCGTGGATGCGCGAAGTCGAACCGCGCCATGATATGGAACAACGAAGCTTTTGAGTTGTTGCCTAACAACCAACCCTGATTAGTTGAGCTCAATTGTCATAAACCGCCAAGCCGGAAAGTGGCATTTGACAATTAGCCGGAAACGTCATTCAAGAAAACTTTCTCTCAGTTCATCCTACTGCAAAAAATAATCGCCGCAATCTATGATACCCTGACTGCGTACTATCAAGAAGTATTTCACCATCACGATGTATTTGTAGCGGAGCTCTGGCGGCCCGAAGGGCCGCAGAACGGAGCACCATACTCACAGATTTTCTCTAGGTAATCATGGCTAGCGGTATTGCTCGTGGGCGCGTACGCACCGCGACGAGGTCGGGCAACATGGAGACCAAGCCTTGGTTTATAGCTGTCAAAACAAGGTATCCGCTGAGCAGTAACACGTGACCATATCGCCGACTCAACTTAAGAGCTCATCGAGGACACGCGGTTTTCTTTTGATCAGATGCTTGTTTTCGACTGGATCGCAGGCTCAAGCCAGGTTAACTCATGTTAAATTCATATCAGGACCTCCGCCTTTAGGCTTGGCTAAATGTATATATTAAGGCTATTTGCCGCACTGATCCTTCACCCGACGCCTCGGTCGCGTAGAAAAATTTTCTACTGCTCGAAACTTGCGGCTTCGCTGCTCGCGCGAAATCCATACAAGGTAGACCGCCCCGCTGACTATCAAAACCAGTGCTCCATGTTAATTTTATTGAATTTTAAACTCACTAACTACATCATCATACATTACCACGGGGTTTACAATTTTCCTTTAGTTAACCAAGCTCACTTCATGTTGAGCTTTGTTGTCTCCTGATTTGGAAGAAAGTGGAGCAGATTTCGTGTACCTAATCATTTCCGGCAAAGTTGTAAAAAGGTTAAAAATTGTTACAGAGAAATGCCGGCTGAACAGCATAAGCTGCGGAAACTACTGCGGAGAGTACTTTCAAAAAGTACTTATAAAAGGCCATTTTTATTCGCAGGCGTTGAGATAAGTCTGCATGGAATCATCAAATGCTTTCATAAATGGTGGATGATGAGCTCGTGCCTTAGTTCCGGTGAACTTGCTTGTGTAGCGCTGATCTCTGTAAGTCGTGATGTTCACCGTTTTGGATTTGTACCACGCGTGTTGTAATTCTGAGCAATCCAAGTCGAAGCCATAGTTTGATTCTTTAACAAGATCAGCAACGTAAGCAGTTTGGTAATCAATGTTGTTGTGATGGTTCTTTAAAGGACACATTCTGGAAAGAGAAATGATCACAGATGAAAAAATAAAAAGGCAGGCAGACAAGAAGGCTGTTCGACTGACAGACAGCAGACAGACAGACCGACCGACAGCTGTGAGACAGACAAACAGATAGTTATACAGACGGACAGACAGACAGAAAGACAAGCAGAGAAATAGCTAGATGGATAGACAGACAGACAGGCAGGTAAGTGGGCAGATACACAGACAAGCAGACAGAAAGATAGATAGACAGAAGGACAGACAGACAGGCAGGTAGGTAGGCAGACAGACAGACAGACTGACTGACTGAATTAGAGAGTCAGAAGATTTCTAAGAAAGTCGCGACACTCAATGTACAATTGGTAGAAAAAGTTACATATAATCCAAACACTTTCCCAAGAATGTTATAATGAAGTATAATTTTGGGGGCCGTTGCCGAGTGATCGATTGCTGGTTGGAAGAAAATTCCATACTTCCCGTTGTTTTTTTAGTTTTCATGTTCATGTTCCTAAAAAACCCCAATACTCACGATACTGTCGAGTTATAAAAGCCAGATTTAGTGTCCGGCACGTTTGGTTCGGAGTAACGGGGTGTCACTGCAAAACTGGAAATTAGCTGAACAGAATAATACACTCACCCACTAACTAACAAAATGCCTTTACCTCGCAAGCCATTTCTGGCAGTCATTCTCCATGTTTTGCTTGTCTGGAAGGGAAAGCTTTCCTGTGATGTAATCCACCGCCCATTTGGCTTGTACATCAAACATGATAAAGGTATAGTATTGAGCCTGCATTCCCATGTACAGAAGCTTTCTGTTTCCTCCCTGGGTCCAGCAAATGCCCTTGTAGAGTCCCACGGGGTACAGGCTAAGATCGGTCTTCAGGCGCAGATCATCTTCAAGAAACGGGAAGGAATAACGATACCCTGTGCACAAAATGATGTCGTCAACTTCTGTTGTGGAACCGTCTTTGAAATGGATTGTGCTACCTTCGATCCTGGTCAACAGGGGTCTTTCTGTTATCCCAGGGGGAAAAGGAAAACCCATGGGCTTTGTTTTCCAAGTGCAAACGATGCTTTTCGCGCCATACTTGAGACACTGGATAGCGATGTCTTCTGCAGATAAGCTTGAGCCTACCACGAGAATGTTCTTGTCCTTAAAGTGAGAGGCATTCCGGAAAGAGTGCGAGTGTAAAACCCGACCAGGGAACTTGTCTATTCCAGGAAAGGAAGGGATCTTGGGGACGGAGAAGTGGCCAGTTGCCACGATAACATAGTCAAACCTTCGAACAGGGAGCACCCGGTCTTCGGAAAGGTTTTTCACAACCACTGAGAAATCGTCGGTGGCGTCGTTGTAGGTCACATGACGGACAACATGGTTGAAGGAAATCCAAGGGCGAAGATTATTTTTGGACCATCGACCTGGAAAAAAGGAAAGTGAAATCAATAAATGGAAACAACGAGCACTGTTTTCTACTCCGATATAGATTTCGCTCGATGTGAGTTTTTTGGTCATTTTTTCGCCACATGGATGAGTCAGAACAAGTACTAGTCTCTTATTATGTAGTAGTCTTTAAAAGCTGCTCAGTTAATGGAGAGACGATACGCAAGCTTATGTTAGTATGCCGAAAAATACCTACCTTTCAGGTAATCATAGAGAACTTCTCGAGGGGGGTAGGATGAGATTGGTTTCCCAAAATGCTCGTCATAGGTATAGTCAGGATATTCCAAACCTTCCTTAGGACCATTGGACCACAATCCTTGGTACATACTTCCATGAACAGGTTCGCCATATTGATCAGTGTCTAAAAATATTTTGACAAATCAACAGTGATCAATTTTTAAAAAACATTTTTAAGTTAAGTTCTAGCTTTAAATTATTGATCCGTCTTCCAAAAAGACCTCGGCCATGTATAATTGTATCTCAAGTACTTCCCACGAGAATCATCAGGACAAATCAGTGCAGCTACATTGTCAACATGGTAACAGTAGCCACATGTACACGATGACCATCTTAAATCTGAATTTCAAACCATTATTTATGCCAAAAACGTCATTTTCACGGTCGATAAGGTCAAACGCGGGTCTCAGTTGGCTAAAATGTATCTATGGATAGTATTATTCATTCTATGAACAACTGTAATTAACCAGGTGTAACTAGAAGAATACTACTGACCAGTCTCCCAGGAGTACTTCCAGAGTCCTCCCCAGTCCGATTGCTTGTCAAAGCACACTATTTCTGGAATTTCCTTTCCTTGTGTCTTCAGTTTATTGAAGTGATACAACACTGACATGCCACTGGGTCCAGCTCCAATCACACAAACACGCTTGAGTTGAGGCATCTTTGAGTCTCAATGTTTTTCCTGCAAGAAATATGTGATAGACCTGGTTACGAAACGTAGCGCGAAAGGCAGGAAACAGCACGAGAGTGGAGAGCATCCTCTTTTGTGAACAGCTAACAACCGGATATCCACCGAGAAAGAACTGCACGTTCAGTATTGTGGCTGCTCTTAATTTCATATATTGCTCGCGAGGCCAAAGCAATTAAAGGTCGACAGCTGTAGTCCAATGCGGTTTATTTTGACAGAGAATCTAGGAAAAATTCAGTTACACTTTCCCAAAGAACAAGGAAAGTGGTTACGTGCGCGGCCTAAACAAACTTTATCTTACAACAATTTAGGGGTGACCGTAGATAGTGACCGGAGAGCGTTTGAGACGTTGTTTGACTGCAATCTGATGGGTTATGTTTTCATTGTTTTGTGCTTTGATGTGTATGAAGTATATTCTGACTTCTCGTGAGCAAATTATAGACAGAAGTCTTTAGGACATCAGATTTTTTTAGAACACTGAATCATTGAATAACGCAATTCAAGAGTTTTCACTGGCTCAACCATCATAGTATATGAGCTATTATACCATGCTCTACAAATGTGGTAAGCGCACGCGAAATTTTTTGTGGCGATTTTATTTTTATTTTACTGTATCAAGACACCTTGAAAGTGTTCTTCTCTCAAACCGAAGGATGATACCGAGCTGAAAACTTGTAGGAACTGAAAAGATATATTTTGGAGGTCATCTGGCCGATAAATGCAAAAACTCAAAGGGCTTTAAGATTCCTGATTTCATTAGAAACAAACTAAAAGAAACTGCAAAGCCGTCAACGAATTGAAGATCCTGCTTGATGAACATTGGATCTCACAGGAGATCCAAACAGCCAAACTTGAAAAGCAAAACGATGAGAAGTTACTGCGAGGCTAACGCAACGTAGTATATTGAAACAACATCGTAAACTGCCGCTTGTAAGGCCTGGGCTTGTACAACTTCAAAAGGGCTTTTAGATGGGCTTATAAACGGAGGCCCATAAAAGGCCCATGCAAGGCCCAAGGGGGAGGCTTATAAGCGGGGGCGCTTATAAGGGGCAGTTTACGGTATTTCGGCTGGCCAGGTCATTCTTCTTCAGGATTAGAAGTTACTTAATTATTAAAATGAAATTACAATATTATGTAAAGATGGATGTGCTAACACATACTTCGAAACTAAAAGGAGTGGCGGAAATGACGTATACAAGAAGACACCTAGAAAACAAAACAAAATTAAAAAGTAAAAATAATACCCACAAACTGACCCGATGAATTGTAAAACTTGTAACCCACGTAGACTGGTGTTATTTTTACTTATCATCGTTCTGATTTTAGAATTTTATGACATCACCTGAAAACAAAGAATTCAGGCCAACCAAAGAGGAAGCAGACTGCGAATCTGACTGAAAGCGCTTGATCTCAATATCTCTCAGGTTAGCCTGTTTCCAAATAACTCTGAAATGACTTCGCTTACTTTGACGATTTCGTTTCGTTTCTCTTGTTTCGCTCGTTTCGCCCGTTTGGGCGGTTTCGTTTCGATGATTTTGCTAATTTTCGGTGGTTTACGTTTTCTTTCGTTTGGACTGTTGCGATACGTTGTGGCGGGTTTTAGAACATGCCCTTTAAAAGAGCAAAATGAATCTCGAGCCATTGCAGAAAGATTGTGGCGCAGTTCGAGAAATGGTAGTGATATTTTAAAATATGTCAAATAACGGTATATAATATACTGAACGAAGTCCTATTTGGTCTTAAAATAAATTATACGAGTGGTTAAACATAATTAGAACGTCGCCTGAGGGGATAGGCGCTACTGATCTTGGCTAGTGCATAGATTGTAGATACGACTCGAATTCTGCCTTGGCAGTTGCTATCTCGCATAAAGCATTGCTCTAATCAACAAATGAAATCTAACAGCCATAAAAAAAAAAATTCATTTCGTTTCACTCGTTCCGTTTCGCCCGTTTCTGGGGTTTCGTCTCGATGGTTTTTCTAATTTCAGTGGTATCGTTTCGTTTCGTTGTGTAAAATTATTGCACATGTCCTTTAAGAGGGCAAAATAGATCTCCAGCCATTGCCTAAAGATTGTAGCGTAGTTCAAAAAGGGTTATAATATTTAATTTGTAAAATAACGGTATATAAAAAGTATGGACGACGAAGTTCCTACTTGGTCTTAAATTATACGAGTGATTTACATCATTTGAATGCAGTCTGGGGGGATGGGCACTTCTGATATTGACCGATGTATAGACCCCAGATCTGCCTTGATAGTTAGTTATGTAAGGTAATACAGTATTGCTCTAATCAAAAAATGAAAACTAACAGATAAAAACAGAACGAAAGCTAACCACAAGCAAATCGTGCCGAACTGCTAAACGCACCTCAGCGTCAACTTGGTGCTGCCTGACTGAATATCCTGACCGAAAAGATTTTGACTCGTGAACCCGACTCAACATACACCCGCAAATATTCTGAGGTATTCAAAAACGCTTCATTCGAAATACAACCGGAATATTCTATTACTATCCGTTCTCTTTTTTCCGAATTTAACTTG